TTTAATTACTGTACATCATTAATTTTTTTCTTTATAAAAACAATTCCAATAAACTCTTTTTAAAAAATCCCATTCTATCCAAATTACATTTTTATTGTTTGCTATAATATCTGGTATATGCCGGATTTGCTATAAAGTGATTTGCTATATAATACATTGTAATATTGGGCAAACTGAGTCCTCCTTCCTGTTGCGGTATATTTATTTATTTATTCTTGGTCTCTTATTTCCATTACATTGCTCATTAATCATTGTCTGCCAAAGTTTTAACTCCTTTTCAGTAATTGTCTGCACCTAGAATGAAGCTTATTAAAAGAACTTGGCTAGTACAGCTAGGGCCAATTAAAAGGCACAATGTGATTGGTGGAGCCCTCAAAACCGTTGACGAGGGGATATAAATTTGAAGATAACTAATTAAAATGGAAACATCATTTTGGAAGGATGACTTAGGCCATTTATGCCATGCTTCATGTTATCTGTATGGAGAACTCTATATGCACTTGTAAGTATAGAGATACCCTGTTTCCCCTAAAATAAGATCTAACCTGAAAATAAGCCTTAGTATGATTTTTCAGGATGCTCGTAATATAAGTCCTACTCAAAAAATAAGCCCCAGTTAAGTGAAACCCCGCCCTCCACTATTGTGCAGCAACCAGAAGATGACATGACAGCATTTGAATAAATGTAGATGGTTGTATATGACAAAAATAAAACATCCCCTGAAAATAAGCCCTAATGCGTTTTTTGGAGCAAAAATTAATATAAGATACTGTCTTATTTTTGGGAAAATAGGGTAGCTTAGATTAGTGTTTATTATTTTCTGTGGAAAAGCCCTACAATGCCTTGAGCTCAATCCCTATACTTATTCTACCCGATGATGTTTTTTGTATTCACTGCTGAATCATTTGATCTTTTGTTAAGCTGTTACAAGTATGCTTTGCTTTTTAATAAACCTAAAAAAATTATTTAAGTTGTGATTCTTTCAGACAGCTGTAAGGGGTTGATGATAGTAAATCTGGTGTCTGAGATGCTCTGAGATTTTGAAAGTATTGTGGGTTATTCTGACTTCTATGCAGCCAGAAGCAACAACCTGCTTTTGTGTTTTTCCCCCCTTGAGTACCCAGGAGTAAGCAACTCAGAGCATCATGCTGGGGAAGAGCAGGCCACAGGAGGCACTGCCCAACCACTAGTGCACTGACCCTCCTGGGCATAACTGGACAAGTGGTAAGAGAACCACTATGTGTAAACCAAGTTATCCCTCACATGGTATTTTTTTAAATATTTAAATATTTTAAAAATTAACATTGTAATACTTGGTGTGAACAAACGAAAGTGGCCTAGAATATGACATTGTCAATCAGATAATCACAAGCTGTTTTACTCTGGAAATGTCAAACTCAGAATAAACAGTGTGGCTATAATAGCAAGGCAAGACATACCCTGCTTAGTTAGGATTATAATGGAAAGTCTGACTCAATAATATCATTCACACTTAATGGAACATCCACCAGCATAAGCACCATTCAACTCTATGCACCAACTACACAATAATGAGACGAAACTGAGAGCAAATGCCCAGACAAAACAGGGGTGACAGGAATACAAAAGTAGGAAATAAAGCAGAACCAAACATTGTTGGAAAAATTTAGCCTAGAAATCAAAACTGAAGGACAGTGACTCAATGAATTCTGTAAGGCCAACATTTTACTGCAATTATGTGCTTTAGGCAACCTTAAAAGACAATTCCATACATGGACATTACTAAACAGCTAATACAGAAATCTAAGACATTGTATATATTGGGAACAGAAGGCAGAAACACTCTAGTCCTTCTGCAAAAACAAGATCACTTATAGATTGTGGTACAGACCATTAATTGTTACTGTACTATTAGCAAAAAGCCAATTTCTGCAGCCAAAACAACAGCTCCAACAGCCAACTAAGGAAACTTTAAAAAGTTAATAGCAGATGACAGAAACAGGATCACAGAATCCTAAATGAAAAAAAGCAAAGTGTGCTGCTTATATACCGCCCCATAGTGCTTAAAGCACTCTCTGGATAGTTTACAAGTTAATTACACAGGCTGCAAACTGCCCCCCTCCAGCAAGCTGGGCACTCATTTTACTGTCCTCAGAAGGATAGAAGGCTGAGTCAAACTTGAGCCGCTACCTGGGATTGAACCTCGGGTCGGGAGCACAGTTTTGGCTGCAGTACTACAGTTTAACCACTGTGCCACAAGGCTTTAAAAAGTACATTTTTAATGACTGAACATAAGGACAAATAAAACTACTATATAACCCGTGTACAGAAATAGGATGAGAGAGGGAGAGAGAGGCATCTTCCATAAGATCCAATAAATCAAAGGAAATTTTAAATCAGGATTAGGGGAGATGAAAGTTCAACAGGAATATATTATCTGCTCAAAATAAAATAAAGAGAAGATGGAAACAATATACAGTACTGAAAAATTGCACTGAAAAGGTGCAATGATGATAGATTCCTTAAAGAAGAATCTTGTAATGAAGAATCTGCAACTGTAGAGAATGAACTGAAAACTGTTCTCAAAACAACAAAGAAAGAAATCAGCAGGAACAAACATTATACCAATACAGCCATTTGAAGTTACAGAGACTAAATCTCTCGAAATCCTAAAAAGAATATGTCAATAAAATGTTGAAAACAAAAACAAGGCCAGCAGACTAGAAAGATCCGGTAAACATTCCAATCACAGAGAAAAGAGATATTAAACAATGCAGTAACTCTAGGGCCACTGCATTAATTTCCCATGCAAGGCACACTATGTCTAAGATTTTAAAATACACTTACAGTACTTGAATAGCATGACATTTGTCACTCATAATCTCTTACAAGTGAGAAATGTCAGCTATTCAAGATGGATTCCAAAAAGGAAGTGGCACTAGCGATCATGTTGCAAAATACTGCTGGACTGTTCCAAAAAAATTCAGAAGAAAATTTGTTTATGCTTTATAGATTGCAGTAAAGCCTTTGACTGTGTGGATCATGAAAAACTATGGCTGATTTTAAACAAATGGCTGTGGCACAATATTTGATTGTTGTGCTTTGTAATCTATATTCTGGCTACTGTTAGAACAAAATACAGAGAAACACAGTGGTTTCCACTGGGCAAAGGTGTCATGTAATGGATGTATTTTATCTCCCTACCCTTTCAACGTATGTGCAAATGATATTGTATCATACAAGAAGCCAAGTTAGATTTAGATGAAGGACTGAAAATTGGTGGAAGTAACAAAAATAATCGAACACACCATATACAGATGATATCATATTGTGAAACAACTCCTGATTCAGTTTGAAAAGTGCAAAAGCAGACTTACCATTGAAGAATAAAAAGAAAAAAATGACTATAGAAAATCAGAGGAATGTCAAGTTGACAATGAAAACAATTAGAATGGTTAAAAGATAACTGAGTCATCAATCCAAATTAAGACTGCAGCCAAGAAATAAGAAGATAGACATGGAATGACTGCTATGAAGGAACTAGAAAAAATAAAATGAGAGGATGTGTTGCTGGAGTCCACAAGCAAGATAATTCATACTACAACATTCCTGATTACCATATATGAATGTGAAAACTGGACAATGATGGGGAAAATGATTAAATCAAAATGTGTTACATAGATAACAAAGAAAGACAAATCAATGGGTTCTGGATCAGATCTGAATTGACTGAACTGAGGAAGACACAGCCTTTAATTTGCATAAGGGCTGTTAATGACAGAACTTTTACCGGTTATTAATTCATAGGGTCACCAGCAGTCAGAAGAGACTTAAACTTCCCATAACAAGACCATAGCATAAGCAATACAACATTCCTAGGCTGCTGCACTACAGGTCACTTGCTGTCTAGAACAGTAGAGCTTGGAGAGCCCCCAATGGAGGCCAACACCCTACCAAAGCAGGAAATCCAGAACTAAAAAACTCGCAAGTGGCTGCTAACCTCTGTTTACAATACCCTTTACATGTAAAATAAGACCCCTTCCTTGTTCAGTGGGATAAGCTGCTATGTTATACTCATCAACGATTTCAGCCTTTGCCTCCTTTGTTTTACCACCGTTAAAGATGTAACAGAGAGACCCAGTACAGTATAGTGTAATGTTTGCACTGGATTAGGACCTGGAAGATCTAGCTTCAAGCCACCAATGGGTGATGATGGCACTCCAAAGGTGACCTTGAGCTAGCTGCTCCCTAGCGGCCCAAATTCTTGTTAGAATAAAGAAGGGAGATAAAAAGCCACATTTGACACACTGATTTCATTAACAAAGCCACTTTTTTTACCTGACCCTTCCTATCGCTCACTACTGAAAAAATACTAGACAGACAAAGAGTTTCCAATGTCTGCCAAAAATATCTAAAAATTAAGGGAGAGAGGGAGAGGTTCCCTCTTTCCTGACTCCCGGCTTATTTCTCGTAGCCGAATAATGAGTAGACCCAAGACATGGTTGTTCTGGATTTTTCGGGCTCTTTGGCCGTGCTCTGAAGGTTGTTCTTCCTAACGTTTCGCCAGTCTCTGTGGCCGGCATCTTCAGAGGACAGCACTCTGTGCTCTGGGACAGCACTCTGAAGATGCCGGCCACAGAGATTGGCAAAACGTTGGGAGGAACAACCTTCAGAACCCTCAAAAAAACGGCAAAAGAGCCCAAAAAACCCACAACAACCATTAGATCCCCGCCATGAAAGCTTTCGCGAATACATTGGACCCAAGAAACTTTGGGTTTCAAAGTTAACATTTAAAACAGCCCAGGTTTGGAACTCAGCTCCAAGATGTTGTATGTCGCGATGGTACTAAAACGCCGATGCTGCCAAACCTCAAAGTCACCCAGCCCACTAGTTGCACACAATCCCCAATCTGGAGGGAGGCAGAGAAGGAAAGCGGAGCCCGTCAATGGGGAAAAAAACCAAGCTCCTTTCGTACACAAAATGGCCGCTGGAGGGCTTTCCTTCACCTCCCATCTACGTCATATCCGGAGGTGGAGGCACTGCAACCGGAAGTAGGTAGCGTTTCCAAGATGGCGACTCCCTATGTTACGGATGAAACCGGTGAGTGGAGGAGCCGCGGCTGGGAAGGGAGGCGGAGGAATTGTACGTGCTGGTCTGTTTCCCTCCCCTACTTTACACCAACTACACCGAGCGTTTTCCGTTCCCCCCCCGCCCGCTGGGCGACCCATGGGTAACCCCTCCGGTCTTTCTCGCGGGGCCGCTCCTCCCCCTCTCCATCCTCGCCGTCAGGCTCCACCTTTAGCTGCCATCCTCCGTTGTGCCACGCCCCCTCCCGTGGCGCTTCTCTCTCTCTCCCTCCTCCCCCCCCCCGCTTTCCTTCGCGCGCCGTTCTCTCGCTCTGCCTGGGCTCCATTTGCTGCGCTCCCCCTTTCAGCCCTGTCCCTTGGAAGCAGTCCGTCCCCACGGCGGTGGAAGGAAGGCAAGCCTTCCCTGCTTCAGGCTGGCTGGGCGCTCCCCTGCGGAGACGGCTTTGAGTGCCCGGATTCCTTCTTAGCCTTCATTCACACGTGTACTGCACACGCGCCAGCGCACACTTGTCCTCTTGTATAAAGGCAAACTGGACCATCCTCAGCGCATGGCTTACGTTCTCCTTGCTGTGCCTTGACTCCTGCATACCGTGTGGCAGTCTTTTTATGCCTGAACACATGGAAGGACACCTAGGTGTATAAAACTGCCTAGGCTAACGGCATGGCTTAGTGATCTGAGTGATCTGACAGTGTGTCGGTGATCACATGTGGGTTTTTTTTAGCACACAGGGTTTTTTTAAGCCAGTGGCACTGGTTTTTAGACTGCAGATGTTTAATGTTTTTTTTCTTTCCCTCCTCTCCCTACCCATTACGAAAATGACCAGATGCAAATATTATTAACTGTACAGGAGATGAAATTTCTGCAGGGACGAGAATAGCTGGACCTGCTTGATGTTCCTTCCTCTCTGACTAATCAAGGTACAGATTAGTCCTCCTTAGCTTTCTAGTCAAATGCACACCTAACAACAAGGTTCAATGTTGTTACATTGACACCCTCCCTTTCCTCGAAGGAGCGCAAGTCCGTGTATGTTGTTCTGTTGTTTATTCTTACAGTCACTCTATGAAGTAAATTAGACTGAGAGAAGGTGATCGGCCCAGGGTTACTCAGTGAGCTTCATGTCTGAATGAGTTTTCAACTTGGGTTTCCCTATCCCAGGGACAGTAGTTTAAACTCAAGTTCACAAGCCAGGAACCTGTTCAGTATTTATTCACGTGAAACTGCAGAAGGGCCTGCAGCATTTGACAAGGTGCCAGTTATGATCTGGTCATATGTGATTCCAGCACCTTGTCAGAGCAATGCAGCAGCTTTCTCAGTTGGAGCACTGTCCAAGTACTGTACGTGTAAGCACTGAAGACAATACTGGCAATTCTGGTTTAAATGAATGGGCATAGTACAGCTTTCTCCAAATTGTTGCTCTCCATATGTTTTATATGACAGCTCACAGCATGCCTAACCATTGACAGTCATGCTGGTAGAGGCTTATAGGAGTTGAAGTCAAAGACTTCTAGAATGTGGGGAAGGCTGGATTGCACCTTAAGAGTATTGAAAGAACTTGCTGAAGGACTCTCATTATGGAGTGTGGGAGAAGTGCCAGATGATTGGAGGATGGCTAAGATAGTCCCTTTCTTTAAAAAAGGGGAAAAAGAGGGACCTGGGAACTACAGACCAGTTAGCCTGACATCAACCCCAGGGAAAATTGTGGAACAAATTATAAAGCGGTCATTATGCAAGCACCTTGAAAACAATGCAGTAATAACTAGAAGCCAACATGGATTGTCAAAAACAAATCCTGCCAGACTAATCTTATCTCATTTCTAATTGTGGAGATATGATAGCACTTTTCAAAATACTTGGAAGATTGTCAAAAAGAGACGGGTCAGGATATGTTTTCAATCATCTCTGAGTACAGGACAGGCAACAATGAGCTGAAGTTACAGGAAGCCAAATTTTGGTTGAATATCAGGAAAACACTAGAGCAGTATGATAATAGAACCTATTACCCCCTAAAGTGGTGAATGCTCCCGTGTTGGGGGCATTCAAGAGAAAAGTGGACAACCATCTGCCAGACTTTGATTTAGATTCCTGTATTAAGCAGGGGTTTGGATTCAATAGCTTTACAAATTCCTTCCAACATAATTGCATGATTATATGTGTAGGCCAAGACCTCTGGAATTTCCTGGTTGGTGAAGGCTGGTCAACTTTTTCCACATTTTGCTCTTTGAATCCTTTTTACCATGTGGTTAGTGGATTAATTGCTTTGTGCATTATCATATACAAGTCATTTGTGTTATTTCATTTTCAATATGGCAATAAAAATAACCAAGCTACCTCTTCTGAGTATCGCTGCAGCAGTGCAATCTTAAGCATGTCTGCTCAGAAATAAGTGCCATTGTTTCCAATAGGTGTTGCACCCAGGTAAGTGGGTAGAGGATTACAGTCTGACTGAAGTGTTCTGAAAAAAAATTAAATGTTGTCCTAAAGAAGTCTGCTCATGATAATTGGATGTGACAAATCATTTGGGAGTTTCAGACAAATATCTCAGTGCTAGTACTCTCCTTCTGGAAATTTAGTAATATACGAAGTGACTAAATAAAAATGGCTAAGATACATTTAGGTGTGTCCTCTTGTTGTTTAGGGGAAAGCTTCATAGAAAATTTTGAAAGAGGACATTAAAAAGCCCATGTAGATAAAATGAGGGCAGTATACTTCCATAAAATGAAACACTTATAAATGTTGCAGGAAAATACATCGCCTCCACACAACGCCCAGATGGAACCTGGAGGAAACAAAGGAGGGTGAAGGAAGGCTATGTTCCTCAAGAAGAGGTGCCCGTGTAAGTTGAACTCTGCTCTTTGTTCTCCATTTTTCATTTATCCACATAGATATTTCTGACACAAGAAGCTTCCTCCAGACAGCATATTTCCCTTGCTTGGGGGAAGCAGAGGGAACATGGCTTAGCATTTTCCTAGTAATACAAAGAAAGGAACAGAAGGGGGCATGGATTTCTCACTTCTGGCCCAATCTTTTAATGTCCTTTTTTTAAAAACGAATCTCCCTTCCCCACTGGCCTCTAGATTACTTGACAATTACCCTGGTAGACGATGAAGTCGCTTCAGGATGAGGTTTTACCGATTGCTATTGTGATTGCAAAATGATGTTTCAGTGGGGAAAATCTGCTACACGACAATCGGTTCCCTGCTTCGGGAACCGATTTTTTGCTTCTTGACGATCAAAAACAGCTGATCGTCGGGGTTTAAAAATGGCCGCCCGCTGTTTTCCAGACCTATTTCCGGAAGACAGCGATCGAAAATGGCTTCCCCTATGGAGGATCTTCGCTAGACGATGAGGTATTGCGCCCTTTGGAATGCATTGAACCGGTTTTCAGTGCATTTCAATGGGCTTTTTTCTTTCGCTTGACAACGATATTGCTTAACAGCGATTTTAACGGAACGAATTAACGTCATCAAGCAGGGCACCACTGTAATTCATCTGAATCCATCAGGAGCATAAATATAAAGAAAATCTCTACCTTCTGCTACCTTCATTTTCATAGGCTGTGCTGCACTTTCCCCAGCTGTTTCTGTGAAGCAGCAGGAAATAAAAAGAACAGCTATATTACCAAAATGAGGGTTTAGTTAACATTGGGTGATCTCTTGCCAAGAATATCCCTGTTAGGCTTGGGATGGCCAGTTACTGAAGTAGTTGGCAGTGTGTGTGTTGACCATTTGAGAACCACAAAGTAGCATGGGTTGTTCTGAGGCCACTTGCATGTGGGTGGCAAACCAATGGCAGGCGGAACCACGCTACACTGAATACACCCAGTCTTCTCTGGTTTCAGAAACTAAATAGGATCAGTCCTGGTCAGCATTTGGATGGAAGACAATCAGGGAAACTCGAAAGGAAGGATTTCCAGACAGGGCTATGAAAGAAATGCTGGACAGGCTTTGCTGCCCTTAGAGATGACAGTATTGTGCTGCTGCGAAGCAGTGGTCTGACTCAGCATGGGGCCGCTGAGTATATAAAGATTGTGTGTGTGTGTGTGTGCATGCACACACATGGCATCAATACTGCCCCACATGTTACTTGGGGTCAGTGGATGTCATCAGCTTCCCGTCAGTACGGCAGAAGGGAGTAGGGTGTTACCTTCATGAGGACAGCTACTTGCTGAACTGTATGCTAAAAGTAACTGAATTCACTGTGATTTCCAAAGGATCAGCTGGGAGTGTGCCCCTCTAAACCAGCTTGCTCCATGGAGCAAGGTTTGAAATCAGTGTTCCAAGCTTTTTTAGAGGCTTCCCTGTTTTCTTTTAAACTACTGAAGAAGACATCCCCACTCTTTCCACACACACCCCCGACTGATTGTTATTCTTGAAGAGAGTTCTGATGCAACTTTTTTCCAAACAGGTATGAGAATAAGTATGTGAAATTCTTCAAAAGCAAGCCAGAACTTCCTCCAGGACTGAATCCTGAGGTCAGCACTCCGACAACAAAGCAAGTTTCAAAGGGACTGGAGACGAGTGAAACAGGACTCTCCAAGACAGCCAAGAGGAACCTAAAACGCAAGGAGAAGAGGAAGCAGCAGCAAGAGAAAGGGGAACGAGATACAGATGACCTGATCCACTCCTTGGAGAAAACGACCTTGTCAGCGATGCCGGGCAACAGCGGGGATGGCAAAATGTCTGTTCCCGCTGGCAGCACAAGACCCCCTGCAGGCGGCACTAATGCCTCTGCTGTTGCTGCTGCTGCTGCCGCCACCTCAGAGAAGAACAAGAAAATCAAGAACGTGAAAAAGAAACTGCGGCAGGTGGAGGAGTTGCAGGCACGGATTGACTCTGGGGAGATCAAGCAACCAACCAAAGAGCAATTGGACAAGCTGGCTCGAAGGAAAGCTTTGGAAGAGGAACTCGAGGACCTGGAATTAGATTTGTAAGGGGCTGGAATTTCAAGCGGACATAATGTGCATAGGAACAAACCGTCCCCTGGAGAGCATTCTGAGAACTGTGCAACACAGAGACCAGAAGATGTTGTCTTCAGACTCTTCCTTTTTACCTTTTATTTTATTTTATGTTGGGTGCTGTCTGAATTTTTAAAGGTGTTTCTCCCATCTATTGATGTTAGATACTCGAGACTCTGAAGAAATACTTTGCCAGCTGTCTAAGTCCTTTTCTAGATTTCTCCTCCCCCATCTCCATTGCAGTGGGTAGCTGGGAGATGGCATTTGACACAGTGGGGCTGACTTTCATAGTGGGTGGAGTGTTCCCTATCCTTTCCCCTGCCCTTGTATGATATACACCACCTTCATGTTCTCTGTAGTGGTCACTCCACCTTCCACCTTCTTTTCTTCCTACTCATTTTTAAAAAGGATGCAATAATAAAAATTGCAGTAGTAAGCTTTGTGGCTATTTTTTCCCTGCCTTTCATGCTTCGGGCCAAGTTGATTTTAAAAACCAAACTGTGTGCTATCACTGCTTATATAAGCTTTCTTTTCTTTAGCTGGGAGGCAGCTCAGTCTAAGTGTCCTCCATAGGAGAGCTGTGCAAAAGGCAAATTCCCTGGGAGACATAATTAGGAAAGGTTTTGAACACACAGCTGCAAATATTATCTATGGCGTAACATACATTTTTCAGTGTGGAACATCTTCCCTAGTGGGACAAGCTTAACTGTTTTAGGCTGTGTTGTTCAGAAATAGGTGACTCGGTGCAGAAAATGCAAACAAAAAGGAAGGCCTGCCCTCTATCGTAGGAAAACCTATGATCATGTTATCAAATGGACAGCAGATTCAAACAAATTAAAGAAAGGACTTTCACACCATGTGAATTCCTAGAATTTCATGACACAGTGTGAGGATGCAGGCCCTGGGATTAGAAGAGAGCAGGGAGGAGAGACTTTTCTGGACTTTGATTGTGTTGTGTTTACATGTGTTAAATGTTCTATTGAAACCACTGAAAATTACAATATGCATTGTCTAAAAAATCAAAATACATTTTTTTAAAAAAATCAGCAGCTCAGTCATTACACCTCCATGTAAGGTTTTTTTGTGTGTCTTCCTCTATAATAATTCAGAGTGTCTAAATTAAACTGATAGGCCATTCCAGATGGAATCCTGACCTACAAAAAACATTATAGAAAGATCAAACAGAAAGCTGCTGCCAGAAATAACATACTTAGCAAACTGGCTAGGTCAGACTGGGGTGCACACCCACAAACAATAAGAACAACATCTTTGTCCCTGTTTCACTCCACAGCAGAATATGCTAGTGCTGTATTATAATACAAATCAGCTCATGCTGAGCAAGTGCATGTAGCTCTTAATGAATCATGCAGGATTATTACTGGCTGCCTGAAACTTACCTCCATTGAAAAAGTCTATTATTTATCTAGCATTATCCTGCCAAAGGTACGTTGAGAAGTTCTAGCAAATAATGAACAAAATAAGATACCGTATTTGCTGGCGTACAAGGCGACCGGCCGTACAAGATGACCCCCCCCAACAGGAAGAGCCTGGGCGGGAGGAGGAGGAAGAAGAAGGGAAAGGGGCGGGGGCGGGTGAGCGAGCGCACAGCTGGCTCAGTGGCGCGGAGTGGCGGGCAGCCCAGCGGCAGGCTCTGGCTGAGGGTGAGGAAGAGGGCAAGAGGCTGAGCAGGCGGCGGCAGGAGGAGGAAAAGGGAAACGGGCAGGTGGAGGGCGAGCGAGGGCGCCACTGGCTCAGCGGTGCGGGGCAGCAGGCAGTCCGGCAGCGGGCTCTGGCCGCTCAGGCATGGCAGGCTGTGCTTCCCTCCATCCAGACCAACTGCCTGCCTGCCCGCCTGCCTTCCTCTCCGGCCAGCGCAGCCCTGCGTCACTCACTCAACGGCGGCAATGGCGGCGGCAGCTCCTTCCTGGCCCAAATGAAGTGCACCCAGCGTACAAGACGACCCCCCCCAATTGGAGGCATGTTTTTTGGTCCAAAAAGTCATTTTGTACGCCGGCATATATGGTAATACAGCACTAAACCCATCTACAGTACTTCATGGACAGCAACCCCCTAGAGCAGGGGTCCCTGGGCCGTGGAATGTTATTGGTCCATGGCCTTGGAAGGACTGGGCTGCTGGGACAGATGAGTGGCAAACAGGAGATGAGCGGGGAGCGAACCTATTAGGATCTAATGGTCTGACAAGAGGCGGAGCTTTGCTCCCCGCCCCCCCCTTCCGCTGCTGCTAGATCAGCTGTGCCTGTGGCATTAGAATTTCATAGGATCCTGCGCTCCTGATAGGTTCTAAGCTGCTGCTGATCTGACAGGAGGCGGAGCTTCAATTGCAGCTCCCCTCCTCGCCATTTCCTTTATGAGCTCAATTCAAAGCCATCCTCCAACAACCTACTGCTTTGGAGAATGGTCTTCAACTAAACTGGTCCCTGGTGTCAAAAAGGTTGGGGGTAACTGACCTAGAGCACAGCTAAAATCAAGAAAAAGTTTTCTGCACACCTTACAAGCTCTAAATGTTAAAGATCAACCTCTGGAGAACAAAAACAACATACCTTGCCAAATGGATGAATGCTGAAGTGCTTCCCACCAGGAGAAGACTCTATCTGGGCCTCTGGAAGTCACTTAACAGACCTCGGAGTGATGTAGGGAGATCAAAGAACAATTAAGCAAAATGGAGCTACTTGGATAAAGAACAAATTCTCCACTATGCTTTGAGAGAAATTCAATCAGTGCAGCACTTACATTCATGTGGTTTATGCCTCACCAAGTGTACAAAAGAAGATCTAGCAAACGGACAGGATAAGGCTATTGAAATAGTTTGTTTCTGGTCAAAAGTGGTCTAATTATCTTAATTTGTTTTTAATTTTATCTATATTTCGTATGTGTCCATAATTTTAAATTATGCAACAGTCTAATACGAACAAGGAACAATGCATTCAGGATAGAGACACTCTTCTCTTACAAGAGCCTGGGGATTTCTTCCCCCCCTTCCCTATTGTAGTGTCCAAGCTGGCTGGGGGATTCTGGAAGTTGTAGTCCCAGAAAGGAACATTTTCAAGTTCTGCACCCAGTGCATAATAAAGTGATGAACATCCTTGCCACAGAAATGGTCATAATTGACCAAATATGCGGGATATTAAATAAATAAATAAATAGATAGATAGATAGATAGATAGATAGATAGATAGATAGATAGATAGATAGATAGATAGATAGATAGATAGATAGATAAATAAATAAATAAATAAATAAATAAATAAATAAATAAATAAATAAATAAATAAATAAATTGTGGTGGCCTTGTGAAAGAGAATTAGATGGATTTATGGAGGGTCAATCCATCCGTGGCTCTTTGTCACAATTGCTACAGGGAGCCTCCAGAACAAAGAGGTGGACTGTGTCTAAATACCAACCCCTGGAAAGCAATACAAGGAGAAGGGGACTGTCCTGTTTGGGAGCTTCCCAAAGAAGCTAAATGACTGGCCATGATGAGTAACAGAGTTCTGGGAGTACTTGGGGGGGGGGATTTTGTTGGGGACCGCAGGATTTTCCATTCTCACCTCTGCATACAACAAAATAGTTTCGGCTGTGAATCCATCTGTCTGTCTGCCTGTTTCTCTCCAATTAGCGCCGGCATCCTGGATTGGTAGCCTTAGTGCAGTTTTCTCGTCAGCACTGCCTCTGTGGCCACATAACTGGGGCTCTCCAAGACCAGGGCAGTAACATCATTATTTGTGCAAATGGAAGAAAAAGCTGTCCCCTCAGTTAAAAAAGAAAAACAGAATAAGGCAGAAACAGGCTGGGATAACAGAAAGCCTGCTCAAGTCTGAAGCAGGGTAAGCAGGAGAGGGAATGAGAAGCTTCCTGTGTTTGCTTTCTGTCTTTGCCCAGAAGGTCTTCTAGCCCTTCCTAACCTAACATACTGTTTTTCTATTTTTAGAGTGTGTGTTGCCATTTGGCCCTTACTGACCCACATATCTGTCTGTCTGTCTGTCTGTCTGTCTGTCTGTCTGGGTTTCATGGGTTGGGGGAGCAAAAAATCCACTTGGGTTTTGCAGGGAGAAAATAATAATGTCTACAGATTTGCATCTGCTTTTTTAGGTCAGAGTGGGTTGCTATGAGTTTGGGAGTACAACTGACCTAGTTCCCATCCCAGACTCTTGATTTTTCCACCCAACAGCATCACCGCCCAATCTTCTAGAGCAGCCAGTGCTCCATATTACTTCAGATCATTACAAGTGCAGGTCACTGAGATCATGGCTCAGCATGAAACTGTAATCTCACTTCTCTGGAAAAACAGGGCTCCCTGGGGGGCTTTTTATTACTTCTTTTAACTGACGGTGTTACTGCAAATAGCTGTCCACCAGTGACACAGATTTCCTCTTCAGCTGCCAGATGGTGTACTGGGTGAAGCAGCAGGCAGAATGCTTTACTCAGATTTCCACTTTCTTATATTGGTAGTTGAGGTGTAAGGTTTTAATTAAAAAATTAGTGCCTTGTCTCTTTAAAAGCCCACGAGGGAACAACCTATCTTCTTGGTCCTTGGCCTTTATTCCAGGGGAGGGGAAACTCTGGTTGAACTCTAAATACTGAACAACCTATCTTCTTGGTCCTTGGCCTTTATTCCAGGGGAGGGGAAACTCTGGTTGAACTCTAAATACTATCAGCCCCATCTAAGTGAGAATGATTAGGGATGATGAGATATTTAGTAGCCCAACAATGTAAACCCATGGCTCCCATATCTTTTTCTGAGGAGACAAATCTTGCTTACCTTGTTTGCCCAGGACTGGGTGAAACATTGCAAAGATTTTGTTGTTGCCTAGGAAGGACAAGATATTTTATGGCACTCTTGACAACAGTCCTTCTATTGGTGAGGATAATGTTTCGTGCAGGATGTGCAACTGCATAGAACTACAATGACTGGGCCTTTGTCTGCCTAGGCTTCCAGGGATCAGAAGAACCAGAGATATTTTCTTTTACCTTTCACCACCAGCCAGTTGTTCTGTGCTTGCTTTGAGCTTATGTGCTTCACTTCTCAAGAGGGAAAAGACACTAGTTTTATGCAAACCCCATTCTACATAAACATCTGAGATCCTCATGGAAACAAGCACTACTTGATCTGGCAATAAGAAATCTTGAACAGCTTTTAGCAGGTAACCCTGTTAGTACTCATCCAGGAAGGCAGAACAAAGAGATATTTTGCATCTCAATTAATCCTCTGAAAAAGATTGCATTCCCTAGCCCTGTGCACGCTCACATATCCACACACCATATACCATAACTATATGCCAGTGTGGACGGGCTTTTTAGTCTGTTGTAGGAATTTTAAGACAAACTTGTTTTTATTTTTCATAAGCTTTTTTGCCTCGCTTTAGAGGCACCCAAAATGGCCGCTGCTATGGAGGAATTTCGCTTTAAGGTAAGTTT